CTGGCAGAGGTGGATGCAGAGTGACAGAGCACGGGGGGCGTGGACACTGACCACCAGGAGCTCAGAATTCAGCCTGTTCCAGCGCCATCCTAGGGAGACCAGCACAGGGCACTCAACCCCACCAGTCAGGGCCAGGCCCCCAGGCAGTCGTGGGGTGRTGGGCTCAGAGCTGGACAGACTGCATTTGAGGGCACTGTGAGGTGCTGCTCCCATTGGCAGGACACCACAGGATCCTGGCCCCCCGCTCTAGCTCTGCCCTGCCTGGGCCGCACAGCCCCTGAGCTCCGTCCACACCTGTGGAGGGAATCGACCCAGAGCCACCCTGCTGGCCATGAGCCTGGCTGGTCTCTAGGGTTAGGGTGTCACCCTCAAGAGCCACACCAGGAGCAAGACCTGACCCGAGCCTGCACCCCCGTGGTCCTCTAAACCACCCCACGATGTCCCAGCCAACGGGGGCCCTGGCAAGACCCCCGCTGGGCAGCGCCCACCTTCTCTCCTCGGGCTCGGAAAGGACCTCTGGCCGCGATCATCTCGTACAGGGTGGCCCCCAGGGCGAAGTAGTCCACAGAGAAGTCGTAGTCCTCGCCACGCAGGAGCTCGGGGGCCATGAAGCCTGCGGGACACAGCTGCAGGTTGAGCGAGCCGCAGCCGCGGTCTCAGCTGACCCTCGGGGACTCTGGCACCCGCTGGTCTCCACCCCTGGAGGCTGCAGCACCCCGTCCTGACAAGGACAGTGCCCCGGCTCAGCCGTGTTCCCTGGGCCAAGTGTCCCATGGGTGGGGTCTCGGCTCCCTCCCTGGACCCTGCAGGACACGCCGGGCAAGCCCCGCTGTGGGCAGAGCTCCTGGGGCAGAGATGGCCCTGCGGGCTTCTCACTCACTCCTGGCCAGGCACCCCAGAAGGACAGCCAGGCACCCCAGAAACGGGCCAGGCACCTTGGCCCGGCCGAGGCCCACGGGACACCCCAGAGCAGGCCTGGCGTCCTGCAGGGAGACCTCAGCCCGGGCACTGTCTGGCAGCACCTGTCCAGCACCTGCTGAGCTGACCCCACTCCTGCACCCACCAGGGCCACCAGTCACCTCACTGTGCAGAGGAGAGCGGAGCTAGCTCCGGCTGACCAGGAGGCAAGTGGCCAGCTGGGCCCACAGGCCTGCACTGAACTGCCACCACGGCCAACCTGGCCTGGGGCCAGCCCCTCGCAGACCCCACCATCCCGGCCTGGGGGTCAGGTGGTTCCCTCACAGAGGGTCCTGCCCACCTCCCCCACGGACCCCTGGGCACTGACCAGGGCCAGCACCCTGGTCGCAGAGACACAGCTGGAGCTGAGTGTCAGTGTGGCGCAGCCCCTCCTGCCCGTGCAGGCCCTGGGCCCACAGACGGGGCGTGTGGCCCGCCAGCAACATGCAGTGGTGGGTCCTGAGCGCCCGGGCACCTCACCCTGTGCCCGCCCTGCACACGGAAGACACCRTCCTCAGCCAACAGAGACCTTGGCAGGGAGCCAGGCCCGGCCTCTGCCGCCAGCCTCAGCTGACCAGGGAGCTGCTGGGAGTCAAGGCCAGAGACTGGCTCCTGACCCGCAGGTTGACGGCAGAGCGCGGGCCACGGGGCCCTCTAGTGGCCATGCAGCTATCGCGTCCCTGCAGGCAGGGTCCACCTCAGTTCTGGCTGCGGCAGAGTCACCAGGCAAGCAGCTACGTCCACACCACACCTCCCGTGGTGTCCATGGTGTATATCAGAACCCACGGCCAGAGACGTTAAGCAAATCACCCAAGGTCACACAGCACTAATGAGGAGTCTCCACTAGACTCTGCCCTTCTCAGCTCTGCCGCTCCTTCCCTGCCCRCGGGGACACACACACAGGACACACAGGACAGACACACACACGCACATGCCAGACACACAGATCGCACCAGTGCACAGACCTGCATGCAGAGGCACGTGTCAGATACCTGCACACCCAGACACACACAGGCAGGGTCATGGATACGTTCATAAGTGTGTGTGTGTGTGTGTGTGTGTGCGTGTGTGTGTGACACGCCTGTGTGCGGACACCCCGCAGTGGCCCCAGGCCTGACTCCCCGAGCCAGCACTCGGGACAGACCCTGTGCAGCCCAGGCCCTGAGGTCCTGCCCTGGGCCCCTGCTCATCACGCCCAGTGGGCGGCTTCAGCAGGCAGGAGGCCGTCACGGGGCGGCCCCGGGGGCAGCCAGTGGACCCTGGCTGTTGACCGTGCGAGGCCCACCGCACCTCACCTGGCGTCCCTGCGTAGCCCCTGGTCTTGCTCTGCCCCTCCGGCAGCTCCACGGCCAGCCCCAGGTCCGAGATGCGGACGTTGCCTGGAACAGCGCGCTGCGGTCACTCGGGGGGCCCGGCAGGCCGCTGCCCGGGGGCACCCTGGCCACACAGGCAGCACAGCCAGCACAC